TCAGAACTGAACACTTATGCTTATACATAGAACTCACTCTGAGCAAAACCACAGTTAAGACCTTCAGTGAAGGTAAGGTGCTGCCTAGATCTCCCTTCTTGAGCTTCTCACCACCCTGCCTGTTCTGGATGCATTTGTATCTATGTCTCATCCCTACTCACATTAGGCCCTGCAATCTGAGATTGCCATTAAAGGACCATTGGACCTATAAAACACAGCTATCTCACAGGTTTCACCCTTGAGTTTGGCGTTCATATTTTCTATCTCTGGATTTCTTACAATGCCTTAAACACAAAATCTTCAATAAGAAGTTTTTGGTGCACACCTTTAATCCCAGCAATCTGGGAAGCTGAGGCAGGAGGATCACAAATTAAAACAGCTGAGCAACTTAGTGAGACTGTCTCAAAATTTAAAAAAAAAAAAATTTAAAGAGAATAAAAATTTAAAAATATTAAAAATGACACAGAATTTCAAAACAAGATGATAAGAATTCAACAATGATTGTTATATTGTATATTTTCTTCAAAGAAGTTATTCAGATTACCAGATAGAGGCATGCAAAATTGATCAAACAATTAAGCATTAACTATTTCTTTCAATAAACCAAGAGAAATTATTAGTACAATTATTTTAGCTATATCGTGTATATATATACTCCCTTCTTTCTTTATTTTCTCCTTTCCCTCATCCCAGTTGCTCTTTCCTTTTCAGTAGTTTCTTTCCCTTTCACAATATCTACTGTACTTTTTGGATTTTATTTACTCTTCTGTTTCTTATACTTGGGAGACAATACAATGTTTATACATGTAGATCTGATTTATTTCACTTACGAGTATGGTCTCTAGTTGTATCCATTTACCTATAAAAAGCCTTGAGTTTTTTTGTTTATCTTTTTTAAAATTATACAACATAATAAAAAAAAATACCACATTGCTTTATCCATTCCTTGGTTGATGGGCATTTGGGTTGTTTCTAAGCTGTAACCATGACAAACTGTGCTGCTATAAACATGGGTGCACATATACCATTGTGAAGAAAAATTTTTTTTTAAACTTGGAGATGTAGCTTACTGAAAAAACTTTGAGTTCAATACCCAATATCATGAAAAAAAATTCTGGGATTAACTTTTATTGATCATCTAACTGAAACAGTTCTAGTTCCATCAGACAAAACCAGCCTAAGTTACCTTCTATCCTTCAGCCTGCTTGGGGGGGACATAAAGGGATTCATTCTTTCCTATTGTCTTCAGGTAATTTTACTTTTGCTTGGGCCATTGTTTAGTGGCAGACTGTCTGGCTAGCACAAAGTTCTGAGTTTGATTCTCAGTACAATTGTTATTATTATTTTTGTTAACCTTTGCTAGCACTGATTTACTACACTAGATATCACCAAAGCCTTGGGTCCTGGACTTACCTCTGTCTCTTGCCTCTTCCCCAAGTTCACATACCTTCATGTGTTCCACAATCACCACACTAGAGACTCTGTTAGCTCTCACATTTATAGTCTCGTAGCTCTGCAGCTCAACATTTTAGATGCCTGATGGCCTTAAACTACCAAAAAGCCAATATGTTCAAAGCAGGATTACCATTTAAAACAAGTCTTCCCTCAACATATCCCTTCTATCATGGAAACGACAATGTTTCTAGGTTGCCAGGTCAAATAAAGACACTGGGTCTCTCTGACTATTATGGCTCTTTACCCAGTCAGATATCTAGTCCTGGCTAGTTTCTCAAGCACATATTGAATACTATTATAGAATCTGAAATGTCCCCAAAGGCCTATGTTAATTGGTCTCCAGCCAATGGAGCTATTGTGAAGTGGTAAAACCTTAAAGAGATTGCTCTACTGGAAGAATATAAGGCACTGAAAGTACGTCCTTGAAGGGAATAGTGGGATCCCTGGGGAACATGCCTTAGCTAGACACTCCTGCCATGATGCACTCTGCTGCCACAGGCCCCAAACTATAGGGCCAAACAAGTATGGTCTGAAATTTCTGAAGACAGGTATTCTTTTTCTTATAAGCTGTATACCTCAGGCATTTTGTCAACACAAATACATTCTTTCCCTTTCATTGTTTTTTGGGCTATCAAATGTACATGAGTTTACCCCCCAAAATGTTGGCCTTTTTGGATAAAAATTCATTCTTTTACAACATTTTTCCTTGGATCTGTCCCCCAACACAAGAACCCAGAAGGCTCATTCTCACATTACTGCATCAAATTTGAACTTCTCTGTGTAAGTAGCCATCTTTTAGGGTCTAGTCTACTTATGCAACGTCACTTTCCACTGCTTTTGAAAATATCTTGTCTTCATATGCTATTAAACTTCATACTGTTTACATGTCTTCTTTCCCTGTGAACCAGGAATCCTAGTCCCCATAGGACTCTGCACAGAGCATAGTGTCCAATAAGTATTTAAAAGGGCTTGTTGAATGAGAAGACTTTCACTCAGGATAACATCAAATAGGAAACTATTAGAGTAAACCAGTCATAAACTGAATAAAGTGATGACCAAGGCAGACAAGTCCCCCTCTTTTAGATTCTTATCTTTCCTTCTATACTATCTATTTACCTTACCTTTAAATTATATACTCAATAGTCTGATTTGATTAATGCTCATTTCCTCATTATATTTTAAGAGGAAGGGGCAGTGAATGTTCTGATATTTTCAAAGCGAAGGAGCTCAAGAAATGTGTAGTGCATATTAGTCAGATAAACACACAAGACTACATCCCACACTACCCTTTACATCCCCTCACCACCAAATATTCTGCACTCCTCTTCCCTCCACGTGGTGTTCTCTCCTCTCCCCAACAAATCTACCCTTAACCCAAGTCCCACTTGCTTCATGAAAACTCTGTCTATTCTACATCCTTTACCCGTCTCTGATGATTTATCGTTTACCTTTTATCAGATTCATGTTCTACAGAAGACCAATGATCTGTTAATGACATTACTGCTTTATTATCTAATTGCTTCCTGTATTCAAAATCTTTCCTCTTCAACCAGACCTGACCCCTGCCCCGAGATATACACAATGAACTTTTCTTGTATCTTTCAACTCCTTGTACAAGAGTGAGTACAGAGCTGGCTGTCAATAAATACTGGTTACTCAAGGGCTGGGGAAAAAAGAGTAAAAGCCAAGTACCAGCTTTATTAGATGAGAAATCAGCCATAGAGAAAATACCCTGTTCTTTGTATGTTATCTTAATCAAAGCAATTCAGATCATGTACATAGTAACACATCTGTTCATATTTATTTATCTTTGGCTTTAAAAACAGGGTCTCACTATGTACTTTAGGCTGGCCTTAACCTTATTATGTAGCCCAAGGCTAGAATCACACCATGGCAATCTTTCTGCCTCAGCCTCCCAAGTGCAGAGAGGGTTACAGACATGTACCACTACTCTTCACTGTACCTTAATCTATAAGTATGTGCTTTCCTGAGAATATGATGTGATTTTTAGTGCTAAAAACTTTAAATCCTGTTTTAAACTTAAGAGAAGCTTACCAACAGACTAAATCTAACTTTAAATCACTTTCCAAAGCAAATGATTCCTCCACCTAGCCTTCATTTATCACATATTAAAATAATAACATTATTAGGAGGTCAGATCCCCAATATTTCAAAAAAAAAAAAAAAAATTGGTGAGGAGCAAACATCTGGAGGAAGTTCCTGTTCTGACTCATACAGAGTGTCCCATGTTCTCATCAGAGCTGGCTTGGAGAGGATCATATCTGTCATATATTAATTAGAGAATAAATAAAATTTAAAAATAGAAAATAAAATATACTGGGACAGAAACAAGAAACAGGGTTTGAGGCTAGTGGAATAAGAGTCTGGGGACCAGGATATAGCTTAGTGGCATAAGTGCCTTCCTGGCAAGCACAAAGTCCCAAGTTTGATCCCTGGTACCCCCCCCCCCAACACACGAAAGAAAGAAAGAAAGAAAGAAAGAAAGAAAGAAAGAAAGAAAGAAGAAAAATAGATAGATCTTGAAGACCAAGCCAAGAGGTGTACACTCTTAAGAGCAGAACCACTATTCCCAAGCTTCAACACACACAGATCACCTGGGGATCTGAGGGAGGGCCTGAGATTCTATATTTCTAACCACTCAGATGATGCAGACACTGGGTAATCACATCTTAAGTATCAAGACTATACACTAAACAAACAGTCATTGAATGTCTAGCCCCAGTGTGTGCCAGGAAGGCTATATCTGATCACATTATTGGGCCAGCCAGATTGAAATGGGAAGAAGCTGTAGACTGTGGTCCTATTACGAGGGCCCCACTCCTTGACATTCTCATTTAATTGCTCTGGAGAGGGGCCCAGATTTCCATATTTGAAAAAAGTTCTCCAGGGAATTTTGAGGTACAGCCAAGGTTTAAAAATTCTGCTACAGATGATATAGTAAGTATTACACTCATTCAGACAAAATGGTTGGTGATCTAAACTAGGGCAATGAAGTTATGGGACCAGACTTACATGACTCGGTAATTGTAGAAGGAAGAGTCCTTCATAAATACCTAGGCAGGAATGTAGATGAATAGCCATAACACCATTATTTCTTCCACTTACACAGTTTGGTGAAATGGTTAAGAGCACAGAAATCAGAGACAGACTGTCTAGTATTTACTAGGAGTATATGTGTTCAACTCCACTAGGTTACATTCCTTAACCTCTTTATGCTTCAATTTCTTTATCTGCAAACTAAGGATAGTAACAAAAACCAACCTATGGAGTTGTCTGGTGCATTAAGTTAGCTAACATGTCTGTAAAACCTTGGGAACCATGGTACAACATCTATTGTGGTCTCTCCAAGATGCAAAATTGTGCATAAGATGTAGGTAGAGAAGGAAAGATTTCAAGGATTAAAACAATGGATTATGAAATTGCTGGCTTATGAAGCCAGTTGGATCTAAGTGGTGCCAGCCACCTCCCTCCAGCCCAGACATCACTCTTGAGGTTTCTAAAACTGAAGGCCTTGGAGTCCCTACTTGAATTGCTGGTCCTTGGTACTGCGCGTCTTGGCCAGGAAGCGCTCAGCCAGCTTCTCCAGGTTTCGAGAGTAGTCCATCTCAATCTCGGCCTTTTTCCGGAAGAAGTCCTGCAGGTCCTGCAACAGCTGCACTCGGAGTTCACATTGCTGGTCCAGGCATTTCATCTGCTCTGTGAGCTGAGCCCGGATCTCTACGATGAGAAAAGGGAACAGTCAAAGGATGACTAAGTAAACATTGTGTATGCTGGCATTCACCTTCCATTTACTTATGCCTTGTCCCCTAGGAAATTCAATGTCCTTAAGAAAAAAGCTAAAGTGTACACTGTACACTGGGAGGGAAGGGGGATGGGCAATGAAGAACAATGTGAACCGGGAATCTGCTGAATCATTTAAGAGAAGCTGATTATCATTGTACTATTCAGAGCTGCATCTGTAATGAGCCATTTACAGTGCTTCTGACACAGTGCCAGAATTTAGGCTTTCTTCCAGCACAGGGCCCAAATGAATAGTCACTCAACAACCTTACAAGGTAGCTACCATCTTATCTCTATTTTCTAAAGTTTTATTTTATTGAGTGAGACAAGATCTAACTTTGTAGCTCGGTCTGGCCTTGAACTCACTGTGTAGCCCAGGCTGGCCTCTTGCCTCACCTGGGACTATAGGCATGTGCCACCACACCAGCTATCTCCATTTTAAAGATAAAAATACTGAGTCACAAAGAAGTCAACCTATTAAATAATAAGAATTTGGGGGGCTGGTGAAATGGCTCAGTGGTCTAAAACATCTACTTAGAACAAGCTTAGCAAAGCACAGTGACCACGGTTCAAACCCCCACCACCACATGCCAGCCAGCCCCACCCCCTGGTGGGCTGAGCTGGCCACACACACACACACACACACACACAAATAAATAAATAAATTTTTTTTAAAAAAATAAGAATTTGGATTCACATTCAGACAAATTACTTTGATAGTTTCTCCCCATAGTTTCAAAATGTTTTTCTTTTTTTTTCCAGAACTGGGGATTGAACTCAGGCCCTTGCGCTTGCCAAGCAAGTGCTTAATCTACTGAGCCATCTTCCCAGCCCCAAAATATTTTTCAATACTGTGTCTTCAGGTCAGGATTATTTTAATGGAGGTAGACAGGGACCTGTCTAAGCTCAAATGGTGGCAATAAAAACCAAAGCAAGCCCTATAACTTCTAAGCAAACAAACTGTTCAATGTCAATCCTATTTCATAATTTCCAGTATCATAGAAGGCAAACCAACCCATGACTTGGGAGTGATAGGTCACTTGTCTAAGATTCGTGAGGCTCTGGAGCTAAAAAAAAATAAGGGGACAGGTTTTATTTAACCTGGAAAAACGTTTTGTCACTGCCTTACCCCCTAGCAAAATCATTCATATCTATTGAGATATGAATAAGATATGAAAGAGCTTCTCTTCTGTTGTGTCAGAGCTGGACATATTTCTGGTTAAGGTCTGGCCTGGTAGACTTCTGGCTAGCCAGTTCGGTCTAGTGCTTGGGCTAGTAGGCATTCAGAACTTCAGGTGTGGCAGCTCCACACACAGCCAGATCTGCCTTGGCTGCAACACTGCACATCTTACTGAGACCTAACCACTATTAGGAAGCAGCCTGCCAACAACAGACCATTTTTCAGCTCAGAGAGGGCCTGTAGTGTGTATTCTGCTGTTACGTTACAAGCCCCATCTGAGCCATGATGGAGTCATTTCTTCATCCCCTTTCCCTCCAAGTGTGCTCAGCTCCAAGCACATGAGGATGTGAAAGTGATTCCAACTCCAAGCAAAAAGCACGCCCACATTATGCCTTTCCTCAGACATGATCCGAATTCATCTCTCACATGTACAGCTCACAACGCTTCTGTTTATGTTATACGTTGCATGGCAGTGGCAGGCAGGGAGCCCCTCGAGTTTTCTTCTAAGCTGTAGATAACTCCAAAGCAAATCCAGGATCAAAACCATGATGCTTAAATGTTTTCAAGCATTCTTTCTTGAAGCAAAGAACGTAGGTAAAGGCATGTTTGGCTTTGCCTTGGAGTATCTGTGGGCCCATAATCTGTCCCCATCTTCATTTTTGTTTGTATTTCATTGTGTAACATACACATCTGGCTCTTCATAGGTGATGTAGATGGTCTGGGAGCGCAGATCACCCTCTGTACCCGCAGGTCTCCTCCTTGCCAATCACTAAAGCCAGCCAGCCAGCCCCACAGTAACCTCACCTGAACTGAAACTGAGCTCCAGAGGATTGTTTCAAGCAGACAGAAGGCTGCACAGAAAAGCTGCCTACCTCATCACTCATCAAAGCTCTCTTGTTCTGTGTATTTTGGAGTCTGATTACAAGGGTCCTGGGGGGTGGGGGTACTGCAGAGGTCATGTCAGGCATCTGGTTCTTACAAGAAATTTCTAAATCTCTTAAAGGCAACAGCACTTGTCAAGACTGTTCCTAGAGGTATCTGCTCCCTTTCCATGCATTAATGAAAAGTTATCAGTAGCAGCCATTGGGTGAGCAGACTGTGAATAACTTACCCATTAAATAGGGTAAAAAAGCTCTCCAGTTACCCAGTCAAGATCACACTTACAAGGGGAAGAGAAGGGGTGCTGTCCAATCCTCTGAAGAACCTGTAATTCACTTACGACTACCTTGCTCTAGGGATTTTGGGCAGAGCCCCAAGGCCCATAACTTTCACAAGCAGAGCACTCCAGAATTATCCTGTCCAAGAAACAAACACATCTACTGACCTCCAGAGACATGTGAATTAGAGCAAGAAAGTCCCAAGCACATCTGGGCAGTATGAAATTCCACCCTGACTTTCTCAGGTGCCCCAGGAGTAGTCCCACAACATGAGCTGCACCTCCTCCTCAGCACCCACACTGGGACCTTTGGGAAAGGTGTGCATGTTAACAGTATTTCCAAGTCCCCTGATTGCGCAGATAAGATGATTGAAGGCGCAGTAAGTCATGTAACAAAAGGCCATACAACTAAGTGCAAATGAGGCTGAAACTAAATTAATGTTTGTCTGATCTATCAAGAAGGTTGAAAGGGGGCCGGGGAGATGGCAAGTGCAGGGCCTGAGCTCAATCCCTGGTTCCGCAAAACAAACAAACAAACAAACAAACAAACAAACAAAAAACCGGTTGACAGGAGAGCAGAGAGACAAGAGATATAAAACACTAGATTTGAGTCTGGAAAGGTATTTCAGAGTAAATCCTAATGACTATGGATCATACCTCTCTCCAATTTGCAGTTGAGGCATGAGTCAGCCTCCTAGAATCAAGTTTGAAGTAGCCCATTGACTCCCTATAGCCCATGGTTTCTGTTTTGTTCTTTGGTAGTGGGGACTGAACCCAGAGCCTTCACACTGAGCTACATCCTAACCCTTTCTTTTTCATTTTAATGCAGAGTCTTGTTGGGCGTGGTGGCCCACGCCTATAAACCCAGCTCTCTATAATCCAACACTCGGGAGGCTGAGACAGGAGAATGGTTGAGAGTTCAAGACCAGCCTGGGCTACAGAGTGAGCTCAAGGCCAGCCTGAACTGCATAGTGAGACCCTGTCTCAAAAAGACTAAATCAATTAATTAATTAAATAAAAATAAAGCAGAGTCTTACAGTGTTGCTAAATTGCCCAGGCTGAGCTCAAATCTGTGATCCTCCTGTCTCTACTTCTCAGTGTGTTGCTCACAATCAAGTGCCATGATGATTGGCCAGTCCAAGTTCTGACTAGTCCTCAAATGGGCTGGATTCCTTCCTCACTTCCTAAATCTACAGGGCAGCTTTGGAAGAAGTTTTCTTTCTTTCTTTCTTTCTTTCTTTCTTTCTTTCTTTCTTTCTTTCTTTCTTTCTTTTTTTTTTTGTTCGGTGAATGTATCCTGAGACATGCCCGTAAGTCAAAGGGCCAAGAATGGGAGAAAGTGATAGCCCAACCCAGATCCAAGAGAAGAAAGACTGCTAATAGATACAACCTGCACCCATGGTTCATCTGTGATGTGACACCACTGAAGATCTCCCCTCCTCCACAACGTCCCTATAACCCTCTCCAAAGCATATACACAGACATAAAGGGTGACTCTAGCCACCCTTACCCATACCTACAGACCAAAACAGAAAGGCTGCTCTCTTCAGAATAGAATGTGCTGCTTCAGGCTTTGCTACTGTTGCTACTGCTGCTGCTGTGGCTGCTAAAATAAACAATGGCCCCCAAGAAGACAGCTATGCCAGCTCCTGTCCTCTGTCCATGCACAGAACTGCCAGGCAACTGAAGACCAGCATGCCTGGGCTATGTGCCCAGCTGGAGGCTCACTGCACCCTGGCCTACCAAAAAGCCACAAGGGCAGGAAGAAGAAAGGGGCAATTTATAAAAGCACAGAGGAATTCCTTATAGTTGCCTTATGTGCTTGGGCAAGAATGCACATACATATGTGTGCATACTCAAAGACATACACCACCCACACCATGCTTCACCATGCCCACTCAACAAGCCTTTACAAATTCACTTGACAATAGGAGGAGTGGTCCTGACCACAGGGGGAGGCAGGGCTTTTGAAGGCTCTGTCTAAAACTGCATGCTAAGAAGTTAAGCTCATACTCACTAAAGCAGCCGTGCCTCAGGAGTAAAAACAATTACCTATCAAAGTGTTAAAGTCACCACAAACTGTATGCAATGATACACCCAAAAATTGCCCTTCCTGAGTGTCCAAGAGAGCCTGTTGATTCAGCAAGCCTTGCTGAGCCTCTCCCATATGACAGGTGCTAGATGATGGTGACAAGACAGGCTTACACCATGCCCGACTGATACATGGCTTGACAAAGGAGAAGAAAGATAAGAAAGGAGAGTCTTCTTCATTTTGTTATAGTTGGTTTTACTTGGTCTTTACTATAACAAAGCCACAGAAATAAGCCTCAACTTAAAGACGTAAGATATAAACACTGTCAGTAGCAGAAAGAAATCAAGCAACAAGCTAAGAAAAGCTCAACATCTGCTGATTCTTTTCTATTATGTTTTTTAAAAATGACACTTGAATAAAAATTTCATCTTCTCTTGCAAGAGGTCTAAAGGTTTTAAACAAGTTTCCTGAGAAGCAGAGTTGATCTTTGATGGATATTTCATTCAAAGATACAAGTAAAAATTTAACCTCACTGTTTTGCAGTTAAGCTTCCCCTCTGGACACCAGAC